TTTTTTTTTTTGTTTTTTTTTTTGAGCAGGGTTTCTCTTTCTCTGTGTTACAGTCTTGGCTGTCCTGGATCTTGCTCTGTAGACCAGACTGCCTCGAACTCACAGAGATCCGCCTGCCTCTGCCTCCTGAGTGCTGGGATTAAAGGTATGCGCTGCCATTGCCCAGCTCTCCACAGGGCTCTTGACCACAAATCCCATATAAAATACTGTGTCAGAACAAAGCCCCATTGACAACCTTCCCAGAGCACTGAATGCTTCCAATTATAGGTCAGTGTCTTTCGTTTTTGAGAGCTGCTTGCTGAGGTGTGAAGTGACCTCGTGGTCGTGGCCGGCCTTTTGCACTCCACTGCTCTGGGCCGGGCTGAGTGGCTCCGTGGTTGTGGTGTTCTGCACAGGATGCTGGTAGGTTTATCGTCCTGCCTTGTCAGCTATCACAAGTTCCTGCCTCTGGAATTGCAAACCCTGCCTTTAGTTGTTTTTTCATCTGATTGCTCAGAAAACTCGGGACATGAGCTCATTTAAAATTCACGTAAAATAATGGATATGACATTTGGCTTTGTAGACTAGACTAAGATGGTGTACAGGTAAACAGCAGAAACTGGGCTGTTTCTCCCAGCTTTTTATGCATGAATTTCACACAGAGCTTTTAAGTTAAATATGCGGGAACTGTGGAAGGATTGGCCACCTGGGGCAACATTTTCTTGCAAAATTGATGCTCACTGAGCTCTGTTCATTCCCGTTCTTTGCCCTCATGCTATCGGCAGCCCCTGTCAAATCAGTTACTTTCTGACTTTTCGGTACCCCAGATCTCAGCAAAGTGCATGGGGTTTGGAAGTTTCTAGGTTTTTAGAGACAGTCCTCTTTGTTTTCACCTTTGCTTCACTAAAGACTCAGTTTGAGTCTAAATAATAGGATGAAAGTTCATTCGGAATACCTCACCCACAGGTCATCTTTGGATGCATGGAGTTTAGTGCAAGGAAGAGATCAAAGCCTTTTCAGACACTGGTTTTCCAACCACAGTTGCATAGGTCAGAAGATAACTGTTTCTTAAGCGTAGGGCTCAGCATCATTGTGCCAGGCTGGGAGCCAGATTCTTTGGTTCTAGCATGGTGGGCATGTCATGTAGGATTTATACTGTGCAGTAGTTTGACCCAAAAATTGGGGTTGCCCACCAATCAGCTGCATTTCAAGAATCATTCTGCCATTCCCATGAGAGATTAATAATTGATGAAATTTTATAGCTAGGCCTCAGGTCATGACGCTGGTCCCTGTAGAAGGGCTTCATAACTGGCCAGCGACCTCCAGTGGGATGCTGCAAGGACCAAGTCCAGTGCCTTTTCCTGTATGTTTATTTCTGTATTGAAAATGCATGAAGTTTTTAAACAATGCTAACATAAAGCATAAGAATCTGCTTGCCTAGACAACACTCAATTCATATGTTCAAGTGGTTATTGGATCTGGTTTCCCCTCTCATGGGATATACATACAGTCTAGCAGGGCTGACAGGTACCTAAAAAGTAAGTGCAAGTAAGTGCTGTCAATCAGGACACCAGCTGTGCAGGCAGTGGCCATAAGTGATGCTTCCTAGTGGGAGTGAGTGAGTAGAGTCCAGCTTGAGATTGTCAGTGAGGGGAAAGGGTCCAACTTGAGATTGAGTGTTGAGGATTGATTCTAAGACACTGAGTGTGCTCTGAGAACCTAGGGATCAGGAGACAACTAGAGGCAGAGCAGATAGGTCTGAACGTCCCAGACATGAGGCACATGGTCAGCCCATATGGGAGGAAAGTTCTAGAAGTGAGTGGGCCAGACCACACAGGAACTTCTGAGCAGTGCAGATTGAGGTCATTTTCTAAGTGTGCTGAGACAGTTTTCAGACTTACTTACGATTTCGTTTGTATTGAAAAACTAATTTCATAGCTATATAAAATGACTTACATAGTGGAATAAAGAACAGTGGGAAGGCCATGATTAGTCACACTGGCTACTTGACATGGTATGTCTACTCATAACAATTTTTTTTGCCTGTCTACCCTACAAAATGTGCAAGTACATACTAAAAATGTGTGTATCCTTGCACCTGGTCTGAGTACAGGAACTCACCACGGAGAGAATACTCTAGATTGCGGTGTCTGGGCAGGGCTAATTTCGCTCCCTATGGTCTGTTGGCTCTTTGACATAGCTGTAGAGGTTCCACTTGCAGAGCCAAGGCTGTTGAACATTTCTAGCGCTCAGGCAAGCTCCCTCTAAGATGTTTAAAGTAGCCAGAGCTGGTGGCAGGTATGTGAAGCAAAGCTGTGTTTGAAAATGTTATATAGTGTTTATGCCATTTCCTTGGTTTTTGTTTTGTTTGTTTGTTTGTTTTTTGCCTGAAGGTGTGTGGTTGGCCATAGGGCCTTCACAGTCATAAGGAATGGTAAATATTTTCATTGCTGTGACCACTCTTGATGTGTTTGGTGGTTTTCATTGATGGTAAGTCTCTCTGGTTCCATCTATTTAAAACTTGATAGGTTGCTGCCCTCTCGTGGGAAGCCTGGGGAACTGTGCTTCCTGCTGCCTTTTCTTTGTTCTGAGATGGACTGAAGTTTATTGGAATAGAGTAGCATGTTCCAAGATGATCTCTACTTGGAAAATCACTGGAGTTTGGTTGTTAACCCACACATTAGCTGTAACCATTGCTTTTGGCTACCAGTGATGGAATTTACATATCTAATGTGCTTCCCCGGGTCTGGAGCGCTCCCCTCCTCTGATGCAGCCCGGCCAGTTGTCCTGTGGTGAAACTTATGTCGTCTTATGTGTATGCTCAAGACAAATTCTTCTGTTGGTACAGCTTGGAGATGTAGTTCATATACCTACACTTCCTGTTTGTAGTATGCAATCACTGGTTTGTGGTATGATTCACTGTTGTGTACAAACTGTGCCATAGTCCATTTTAGGCTTTTTCTTCCTTTCTCTTTCATTCATTCTTTTTTGGCCTCTGTCTCTAGAATGCTGGGATTGCAGTCCCAGCATAAAACATTGCCATACTACCAAAAGAAACTGTGTCCTTTAGCTCCGTCCGGCTCTTCTTCGTTTTCATTCTTCTCCACACCTAAATCCTAAATAACCTTGTTTGCTTCTGTCCCTAGAGATTGCTTGTTTCGTAGATGTATTATTATCTGTGGTCTTTGGTAACAGGCTTCTTTGCTTGGTGTAACGTTTTCAAGGTTCATCCACCGTGTAGCTCACATTATTTCTTTTCATGGATGAATTCTTCTCCATTATAGATGTGCCTCATTTGCTTTGTCCTCTATCGGTTGATAGGTGTATGAATATTTTCCCTCGCTGACTGTCCAGAACAGTGTTTCTGAAGCTTTTCTATACAGGTTGTGTGTGGATGGGTTTTCACTCTCTGTGCTTGGACTATAGTGGACTTTTCTTTCAGGTAGCTGTCTGGCATTTGGAGGAACCGTCAGATTGGTTTTCCAAAGTGGCCTCATCGGTTGACCTGTGTACCAACAGTGTGGAGTCCTGGGTCCTCCATGTGCCTGTGCCTCTAGTCGGAGTGAAGTTGTAGCTCTTTGAGTCCATGATTTGTGCCTCCCTAGTTGTTAATAATGTCTTGCGTTTTTTAAAATTTACCATAGAGAACTGTTCATCCCAACCTTCTGTTTTTTAAAATTGATTGATTATTGGTATTTCCTCTTTGGGTTGTTTGCATAAGGCTTTCTTAGCCATTTACTTTCTATTACCTGTTTCAGGTGAATTTATTGTCATCATTATGTAGTTGGTTCTGTAATAACTGATTGTTCCTATTCTGTTTTTCTGTGGTATGTTTGAGCTACTTATATTCCCTGTACATGCTGATAGGTGAGGCATTAAGTCTATCATTTTAGCATTTTATTCTATTTTCAGATTGTTTTACTTTGAGTTTTTGTTTGTTTGTTTATTTCTTTGTTTGTTTTTGTTTTTGGAAACAGTGTTTCTTTGTATAATCTTGGCTGTCCTAGAATTAGCTCTGTAGACCAGGCTGGCCTCGAACTCAGAGATCTATCTGCCTCTGCCTCCCAAGTGCTGGGATTAAAGGTATGTGCCACCACCACCCAACTTACTTTGAGTTTTATGATCATTTTTAAAAGTTTAATTTGAGAGGAGTAGCTGGGAAGAGGAGGTGGGTAATGAGATATATGATCAAAGTACATTCTAAGCACATGCAAAATGTAATGAGATGCATTCATATTTATAATATATGGTAATACAAACATTTTAAGAAGTTTCTTTACTGTTTTTTTGAGTACGTCCCTTTGTAGATACTTTATACTGATTACTGTCTGTGCCTTAACAGGAAGATGTTGAAACTAAGATCTAGACTTAAGAAAAAGAGGAGAAAATGTTATTTGTGTAGCTGAGACCTAGCTGCGCATCATAACATTGTTTGGCTTGTTCTTACATTGCAAACAGCAGAACGAGGAAGTAGCTGGCTAGTAAAGATGTTCTCATCACCAGATAAATGAAGCTTCAGCACTATTTTAGTTTTTCCTTTGTCTTACTCATTTACACACATGAGGATGTCACTCAGTAATTGTTGGAATTTTGTTCCCTACAACCTTAGCTCAGTTACATATGGGAGTTTGGTGGCAATCAGTTGATGTGTTCTGTGAGAATCAATCGACTCTGAGGAATGTAGGATGAAGTATTATACATTTCTTGTGCAAAATTGTGCACTACACGTTCTGTCAGGAAAATTTGCAGTGTACTAATGTGAGCACGGCACTCTCTTCCAACACACTGATGGGGAAGTTGCTCATACCTTGAATTCTATTAATTTAACATTACCTGCAAATTTGGGTTTAATATTCAATAAAGTAAACTGATATCAAGCCAGTGTGCCCTCCATCCCACACTGTCAACGGGCATTATGGTCTGTAAGCTGCAGTGATGTTGGTTGTCTCCGGCAGCCCATTTGTGGCTGTGGTGAGATTCCTGTGGCTGGTGCATTCCTTTTGAGTGCAGAGAAAGTGTACGCTAATAATCGCTAGGAAAATGGGAAAATGTTCACGGTGAGGTGACATGGGCATGATAATGCTCCGTTACTCCTCTGGCTTCCGAATTGAAAGTGTCTCTATAGAACATGACTCCATTCATGTCACAGTATCACGGTGACCCTACAGAAGATGGAGAAGAGAGGGCATGGTCTTTGGCTTCTTGACAGTGGTGGAAATTGAGTCCTGCTCTGCCCATGTCCTAAAGTATTGCCTCAGGTGGCACGGCACAGTATGAGATAAAGTAGTAGCACTGTGGCATTTGAGACATAATGCTTCTATTTTAAAGAATTTACTTTCTTTGTATGTGTCTGGATATGTGCATGTGAGTGCAGGCGTTGATGGCGGCCAGAGGCATCAGATCCCCTGTAGTTGGAGTTAGAGGTGGTTGTGAGCCTCCTGACATGGGTCTTGATCCTCTGTATGAGTAGTACATGTTCTAATTATTTCTCGAGCACCATTGTACCTTTATGTGTATTTTTTAATTTTATGAAGTATTATTTGAATTGACATTATAGTTGACTCAACATAAGGCTGTCTTTGATGTAGTAAGCTTTTAATGTGCTGAGTTGAGTATTTGATATGTGTATAATACCTTTTTTTGCATTATATTTTTGTGACATGTTTCCATATATTCTAATGAGTTCGTCTTGACTTCTTTCCCTTTAGTTTGATGAGTGGTGTTAAGAACAATGTTGGAAGAGGAATAAATGTTGCCTTGGTAAATGGTAAGAATAATTATTGTGCATTATTGATGTGATCAATGGGTATATTTATGTCCCACACTAAAATTTACCCTTGGCATCAGAGTAGAAAGCACTACTCAATACTGAAGCCTTCCCAACAAGGGTGCCCACTTGGCCAAACCATTGCAGATGAAGACTTGGGATCTTCTTATGGGTAGCACGTTTTCATGGGCATATTGCAGCCATGTGCATTGTGTGGCGAGCTTCTTGTGAAACTGCAAGCTACTAGTCTGATACTAAGTAGACGCCATCTTGCTGCACCTTTTAGAATTCTTACTAACATGAAGATAGGTAATCAGGATGAAGGGCGTGTAAAATGACAAAGGATGGTGGACTCTTAATAAGCAGAGGGAAGAATAAAGTCATAGTTTGTTTTAAGTTTTCAGTACTGTCCACATTCTTCTCAGAGGTCCATTTGTGCAAATATGTTCACTGAGTCCTGGACATAGTGTGTGTTAAAAAAAGTCAGTTTTAAGCATCCTGCCCACGAAGTACAGGCTGCCTTTGTACACTAGCCTCTGTTCAGCCACTTATTTCCCATAACTGCCTGGGGTGGGTAGAATCTCCCAGCAGCTCAGCCAACCCCCAGCAGGGAAAAGCTCTCTGCTTTTTTTCATAGGTGAGAATTATCTGACTTTGTACTTTCTTTTTCCCAAGTAAAAATTTTAATGTCTCTTCTTCTACTTAATTGATCTTTGAGATAAAATAAGTATACATTTTATTTGGGGGGGGGAGCTTTAGTATAGATTGTTGTTTTCGTCCTGATTTAAATAGATAATTTTTTTGCTGTAGAGGTTATGTATTGGTGGTAATGTCACGGGTTGATGATCGCACATGAACGTGAAGTGTATAACACAGAGCTGATCTGAAGTCAGCGATGCATAGCTGTGTGCATGATTCAGATCGTAAGTTCTAGAAGCAGTTCCTTCTGTTGATGAGTTCATGTCACTCGTTGGGTTAGACCTTTTTTTTTTTTCTACACTGATATTTCCGTTGTGTGATTTAATATGTATTCTGTCTCTTTCAGGGAAAACAGGGGAGGTGCTAGACACCAAATATTTTGACATGTGGGGAGGAGGTACGTGCAACATACACTGTGCTCCTGCTGGCTGACGCGGAACCCATTTGAGAGAGAGCCGTGCTCGTTCGCATTTCCGTTTTCTCTCCCTCTGTCTGTTCTCACTGTGTGTCTGGCCATGTTTAAGTGGGCTGTCATGTTGCATGCCGTTTGGTTATGGTAGGAAGATCGCCTGTGATTGGGATTCCAATGAGATTTGAAGGACATTAGTGCCCCTGTTCTGACAGGACAACTGACTCCAAGCCCTGAGTCGGTTTCGATTTCTGCCTGAAAGTCAGAATCGTCTGAAGACTAGTATAACCAGTTCACACAGTTTCAGACTGAAAGAATCCCACGAATCTATCCAGTTTCTAACTTTGAATTCTGCTATTACAGTAGCAAACATTTGAGAAAAGACATGGGCTTTTCTTTGTAATTTACTGGACTCAGAACAAGCCACAGATATTTTTCCCTTCCGTGTTTGGGAGTCCTAGGAATAGCTTCAAATACTGTCACCATCAAATACTGGTGAAATTGAAGCAAATACTGGCTCCCCAAAGAATGTTACCCCAAAGAGAAAGGTCTCTTTAAAACAAGGAAAGCGTATTTATTTTCATGATTTTGATGGTGTGTAGGTATGTGCACATGGAGCAGGTGCCTGAAGAGGCATGTAGCCCTGGACTCCAGGAGCTGGAGTTACAGGTGTTGTGAGCCACCTGATGTGGGTGCTGGAGCCTGATTCAAGTCCTCCAGAAGAGTAACAAGTTACTCTGGAGTTAGCGACTAAGTCAAGGGTTAGCCTAACCTGAGCCACCTTTCCAGTCCCCAGGATTTCTCCGTCTTTAAGGCAGGCAGGCCAACCTGGCTTACCTCTCGGTTCCCTGGCTTCTTTATATTTACCCTACAAGCCAGCGGCTCTCAGGCTTCCAGACATTTATGTTCAGTTTTCAGACAAGCTAACATGTCCAATATTTCTTCAGCTTTTAATAAGATGCTATGTATTATTTATTTAAGCTTTAGAGAATGTTTCATAACTGTCAGAGCTATATTAAATTACACTGTTCCCATCAATTTTAGATTCTGAGAGCATAATTGCTCTTAGTATAATTTATAACGTAGAAACTCTTCCATGAAGCTGTTGAAATTGGGCATGTAAACAGAGCTCTGGTATAGCTCTCACTGCCCATCACAGACACCAGATTGCTGCCAAAGACTCTTCCTGGTTCAGAAATAATAGCAGTTTAGTGCCATCTTTTCATTTCAATGGAAAGGATTTGTTGGCATTTATGTTTCTACGTTGAAAATGTGGTTTTGGTAAAATATAATCAATTAGAGAAAAATCTTTGGAATCTTTGATGTTGAAAAAAATAGGGAAGACTTGCAGTAATATAGGTTTGGAGTACATTTAGACTTGTGGTCTATAAGGAAAGCTAACATTGCAAAGAGTCCGCGATGGAAAATGCTTTAGTACCTCACCAGAATGTCTGGCAGCACCAGCTTGCACTCAGCGAGCTAGAGTATCGAGAAGTTCCTGTGGACTTGATATGGAAGAGGACCGATGTTGACCATAATTAGTTTGGCTTTTAGTCACTGTCTGCATTCCTTACCCCAGTTTGTTACAAAGTGATACGCCTAGAAACTATAAATCTGCCTTTTTACAGAGGTCTCTGAGGAGTAGATAGAAGCAGGGCTTCCTGTTCCCAGAAAAGCACCCATATTAACATTCAAGGCCATGCCCCTTGTGGTCCCCAAAGCTTCTCATGAACCTGAGAATCAGGGACTGTAAGCCCAGTTACATATTTTCTCGTGGACCTGAGAATCAGGCTTCCTGTGAATTGTAAACCCAGTATGTATTTCTTCATATGAACCTGAGAATCAGGCTTCCTGTGGACTGTAAGCCCAGTTACATACTTATGAGATCCCTGAGGTCCTCACTTTACAAGAGGTGCATTTACATGACTTTACTATGGATTTTTATTGGCCTTGATGGTATGAGTACAAAAGACACAAGATGATTCAGAACTGGGAAATCAGGAAATGGAGGGACGATATTAAAGAATAAATTTGGTAATTTTGTTTAGTATATTTTTTTTCTTCCCTGGGTGGACTCAAAAACCTTGAATTTTTAAACTTTTCCTAAGATTTGTCTGTTTTACCTGTACATTACTTTTCATTAGATAGTTGTTTTGTGGAAACTGCATATGACATTAATTTTAGAAATTATTGTGATAGTAATTCCATCATCTACAAAGAAAATCCCCAGCCCTTTTTTTCTTTCAGATGTGGCACCGTTCATTGAGTTTCTGAAGAACATACCAGATGGAACGGTCGTGTTAATGGCAACATACGACGATGGAGCAACCAAGTATGTAAAATTAAAGCCGAACACAGCTTTTGGAGCTATACTTATCCTTTAAAAAGCAATGCATTTTCATTGAAAAACAGTCTATTAAATTGATAAGGTAGCTGTAGATAAGCACTATCGCCTTCTAAAAAGTCTTATTTCTTTCCTGTCTTTACGTGTAATGATTCTTCATGTTAGGATGAAATTTAAATCACATTTACATAGTATTTTATACTTTCTTTTATATTGTAACAGTATTAAACTGTTTTCTCTAACTTCCCTCTTTTTTGTATTTTGGATTAACATTCTTCAGTAGCATTTTTATGGCTCCTAGCAGTTTGACCTTCTGGGCTCACATTGTGGAACAGTCCCTCTGTAACTGGAAAGGTTTTCATCTAATGAATAATGTGATAACTTTTATATAATTTTTTCTCTGTACTTTTGATTATAACGTTATGGTGAATTTCTAAAAGTGAAATTAATGGTCAGGGACATAGATGTGAGGTGTGTGTGTGTATGTATGTGTATGTGTGTACGCGTACATATGAGTGCTAATACCGATGGAGGCCAGAAGTATTAGATTCTCTGCAGCTCGAGTTACGGGTGATTGTGAGCCACCTGCCATGGGTGCTGGGAATCTAATTTGGGTCCTTTGCCCGAACAGAAGCATTCTTACCCACTGAGCCTTCTCTGCAGCCCAGGATTTATATAGTTTTCATAAAGTTTTGTAACTTGTTTTCTTGTATTGTGTATGTTGTGAAATGTGGAAAGCATAGAAAATCACAAAGAGAAAAAAAGAAGTTAGATCATCTCATTGTGCAGGATAACAGTTGAAAACATTGTAGATTCTTTCCATTTCCGATGACTTCCTGCACATAGTTCTTCACTTTAAGTATTGCAGATGGCAGCACTTAAAACATACCTTTCCACTTATTGGTGTGTATTTCCCAATATTAAATATTTCTTACAATATAGTTGTTCACGTCTCATTGTTTTAAAATGTATGATTTTATAATCTTAAAAAAAATCAATGTGACCTGTTTTCTTAAGATAAAAATTTTAAGTGAGATTATTATGTGTACATTTTTTAGAGTTTCCAGTTATAGAATTTTTTTAATGGCTTATTTCATTATTTATGAGATTAGACTTGTGTGTGTGTGTGTGTGTGTGTGTGTGTGTGTGTGTGTGTGTGTGTGTGTTAGGTGTTTTTTTTTTCTTCCTTTTTTTTGTATTTTCTTTTATGAATTATCCTTTGACCATTCAAGTTGACCCATATTGATTGGTAAGAACCCTTTATATCATAAGCTATTAACAAGTTCTTCTATTGAAAATACAGTTTTTGTAGACAGTTTGCTTCTAATTTTGTCAGCTTTAGGTCCCTTTGACCTCTGGCAGAGCAGGGTAGCATTTACATAGTTGAGCCTGTAGGTTTTCCCTTTAGTTTCTCTGACTCTTAAACTCAAGAAATATTTTCCATCTCCTAACTAGATAATTAGTAGATTTTCTCTTGCAGAGATTTTACTCTTTTCCTGTATTTTAAAAACCCATTTGTCGTTTCCAGAGGTTTCCAGCATCTGTGTTGTGTCAGGCTCCAAGATGGCTTGGATTTTCTCTAGTTTCTTCTGTCAACCTCTTTCTTTCTGTTCCTACAGACACTGTTTCAGTTGCTCAATGACTGGTTTGTGAAAATGAGCGAGCTTTATTCCTCTCGGGTATTATTTTTGAGAGCGTTTTGTGAATGACATTGACATTGCATCTTCACTGAGTCAACTAATGATAATGTTCAGTCTATAAACGCGAAGCTTCATGTGACTGGCAGGTTCAGCTGGTTTTACATAGCAAAATAGTAGAGTCTAATTAATTAAACTTTATTCATTAAAAAGGTGACTGGTGCATTGGTTTGGCTAGATTATGGGTTATGGTATGTGTAATGACAACTTTTAGTATAAAAGCTCCCTTTCTGTCTGGACACACAAGACCTTCCTTTTTCACCGCATGCTTTTATTACTGAGCCTGAGGGGACTCTGATGAGATGCTGTCACCTTCAGAAGGTCACACTGTGGATGCCCCGAAGGGCACCTGAGGCAGGCAGCAAGCCTGAGCAAGTTCCTTCAATCTCAGCAGGGTCCTTGGACTTCCCGCCTGCTGGAGGCCAGCACCCTCGCCGCTTCCCTATTCAAAACAAAGGAGGCAGAGGCCATAGGGAAGAGATGCTGTCTTTTCAGGGTGGGCTCTCAGTGCTGTTCAGCCGTCCTCAGGGTAAATGAAACAGCAAGACAATGAACGCGTTCCCTCGTCACCTGATATCAAAATATTTGAAGCTAATTGACATTTTTCTTGTAGTTTTCCAGGCTCAATACACATAGCTTAGAAAACCTTTTATCATATTAGGCTCTTGTTCATTTCCCTTCCTGGCTGCGTTTCTTGGGCATTCTTCAGTTCATTATTGTCTCTCTTTAAATTAAACACAGTGTTCCAGATGTGGCCTGGCCAGAACGGCTACAATGGAGACGCTAACTTGCCATGTTTCGGAGATTACATTTCTTTGAATATTCATGCCGACTGGAATTATATTAGTTTTCTCTAAGCAATCAAATCACATTTTTGGCTCATAAATTTTTGGTCAAGTAAGATTGTTAAATTGTCAGATCTTTGCCTTTGATCTCAGACTTTTTTTTTTCTAAGCCACTGCCAAGTCAGGTTTTTCTTCATTCAGAATTTGATTTTGTTTAATGTAAATGAAGAACTTTATATTCATTTATTCCTGTTAGATGTGATTGTGCTGATTGGGCCTGCTTGGTCTTGAGTCTGACGTGTGTCCTCGGAGGGTTCCGAGATCCAGGCTTTGTACTCACTCCAAAGTCGTTCATGTGTCTAAATTTAAGCCCTTGATAAAAATGTTTACCGAGGGCAGCGTGCCACCAGACTGGAGACCTGGTTCCTCACGGGATTCTTCTGTTAATCTGCGGCAGGGATGGCTTTGCGGACAACGGCCGGTGTCACCCCGGTAGGCGGGCTCTCCAGCTGCGGCTTAGTTCTTTTACTCACAGCAGCGTTTTCTGAGGCGATCCGTTGCTAACTTGAAATTCATCGAGGAAACTAATTACAGTGCCCTGATCTGCTGCCATGAGCTTCAGTTTCAGAGATGTCATTTAGCTTGGCCTGATTCACTCCTCTGCCCGTCCCGCTAACTCCCCCTTGATGTCTCCCTTCATTGCTACCCTCACAAGGGCTGTGTGTTGTCTTCCGATCCAGAGTTTTGTTAGGGATTGGAATTCGGTTTAATTGGAGTCAGAGTTGTAGGTGTACAGTCACTTCTGGCTTTTAAGTGCAGTTCTAGATCAAGCTCACGTCTGTTTGCCCATCATGCACCTTACGGCTAAGTCATCATCCCCTATTTTCCTTAAAAACAAAACGAAAAGAACTAGATAACCAGTTGGTGCCCTTCCCGGGGGAGACTGTTTCTCAGCATCCCTTAGTTCCCTGTGGTGGTCTGTCCAGGGCTAAGGCCTCCTGAGCGCCCCCTCCCTGCCAAGTTACATGTCTGTTGGTATTCTTGTTCAGGTCATGTTTAGGCATGTTTAGGCCTGCCCCTGCTGACGTTTCTAGCTGCCGACATTTCTGCTCACAGCAGACTTCCTGTTCCTCTGACTCTTACAATCTTGTTGCCTCCTCTTCTGCCTGAGCCATGGAAGTGCCAGCATATGGACAGAGCATGTTGTATTTATTCACTTAGGAACACACACCACCACACCACCACCAATTAAAGAAAAAGAGTCTGGACATGAGACTCATGCCTTCAGTCCCAGCACTGGGTGGTGAGGGGGTGGGATGGGGGGCTGGTCTACGTAGTGAGTTTCAAGACTGCCAAGGCTACATAATGAAACCCTATCTCAAAAGAGGGAGGAAGGAAGGGAGAGACAGAGACAGGGAGGAGGGAGGGGGAGGAAGGGAGGGAAGCCATGAATTGGAAAAAGATCAATGAAAGGGATATGTGGGAGGATTAGGAGGAAGGAGAAGGAAGGGGAAATGGTGTCATCTCAAAAATAAAAAACAAAGGTTATTTTTAAAAATAAGATATATGAGAGTTACAGAAAGAAAACTCTGGAGTGTTAACACTTTTAATGTCTTAACATCTCCATTTTTTGTTTCTAAAACAGTTGCCGCTTCCTTAAATTGTCTGAGTGGTTTCCTTTAGAAATGGTGTGTGTGATGGATGTAGACCCAGAGGCTTAGATTGTCTTTAAAGTACAGACCTGGACTTGGTTGAGTTATGGCTCTCTTTTCTGTCACCCAAGCAATGCTCGCCTCCCTGGGCAGACTGCCTTGATCACACAGTATTCTGTTCCTCTTTCTGTAACACCAGGGTCCCTTCATTACACATCATTACTCTTTTTGTCTTTGTAGCAGATGCTGTTTTTTTTTTTTGTTTTGTTTTTTGTTTTTTGTGGTTTTGAGTTCTGTTTCATTCTGACATGGCTGGTCTTTATAGTATTTTGAAAAACTTTGTCTTTGGTAATGTGGTTTACCTTATACTTTTTTTGGGGGGTGGGGATTCGAGACAAGGTTTTTCTGTGTAGCTTTGCGCCTTTCCTGGAACTCATTCTGTAGCCCAGGCTGGCCTCGAACTCACAGAGATCCATACCTTATACTTTAAAAGCTTTCCTGTTTTCAATTAAGCCTTTCCTATGATAGCACTAGTTTAGAAATTACCTCCCTTCCCAGATTTTTACATAGTTAAATTATTAGTTGTGTTTGTTTGCTTGCTTGTTTTTACATTTATTTATTTTATTTATTTGTTGGGGGTGGGGACAGGGGGTACATGTCACATGTGTGAAGGTCAGAGGACAATTTTCAGGAGCTGGCTGTCTCCTGCCTTGCGGGCTCCAGGGATCAAACGTAGGCTACCAAGCTTGTAGGCATGTGTCCTAACGCATTGAGCCATCTCCTAGGCCCATGTTTGCTTGCTTTCAAAGAACTACATCCTCATAAGAACTCCTTAGGAGCTGTGTTTCATCTCTGGTCTCGATAGCCCCCTGTGATTATATTTCTTAGTCTTCAGACTTTAGAGGAGTGTGACCATTTTCTTCCAGAATTCCTGGTACTTATATTTCCTACATTGTTCTTTCCTGCTGATAACAATTGATTCCAGAGCACCAATTCTCCCTTCTCTGTTGTGTGCTTGGGAGGAGAGGCATGGCTTGGCTGGATGCTGTAGGCCTGTTGGGTGTACCTCCTTTCCCAGTAAGCATGGGACCTGAATGGAAACTTCCATCTCCAGTTGTTCCCTGTATGGTAGGGTATCCACCAGAGGAGACTGCTCGGACCTGGGTTTAAGTCAATAGAAAGTCTTTATTAGCCAGCTGGCAACTACACTTGGTGTTCAGGACCCCAGTGATCTCAGCCTTTCTCAGGGTGAGCTTTTAAGCATAAAAACTATGCCCTGGGTTGACATACTTCAGTTAACAAGAACAGTTAGCTGGAATTGGAACTATAGAAGCCATTTAGAGACTTTCCCAATACTTTGGACTTTGATAGATTGGGTATTTGTTTTCATTTTGGCAGGTAGCACTGTCTAGGTGCTGAGTTTTGTATGGCCTGGATGGGACTTCCATCATGAAGTCAGCTATGCTAAGGTTTCAGGGTCTGCTAAGTGTCTCTGTTCTGGGTCAACCCTGTGCATCATTAGGATGGCTTTACAAAACAACGTGACCCCCTGGCTTTGTTTCTTTTCTGTTGTGTCATTGGACAGCCTTCTATTTACCTTAAAGAAAATTCTTCACTAAAATAGTTGATTCAACATAATCCCTTAAAAATGTATTATTTATTGTGGACGTGTGAATGAGCACACACATTCCATGGTGTGCATGTGGAGGTCAGAGGGCAGCTTGCCAGAGGTGGTTCTTTACTTCCACCATGTCTGTCCTGGAGAACAAACGCAGCTCTTCATGCTTGGTGTCAAGAGCTTTTATTTTCTTGAGCCATCTTGCTGGCCCCCAACATTAAAAAGTGTGTGTGTGTGTGTGTGTGTGTGTGTGTGTGTGTGTGTGTGTGTGTGTGTGTGTGTGTGTGAGAGACAGAGACAGAGACAGAGACAGAGAGACGGACAAAACATTGTGTAGGCATGTGTGTGTCCTCTTCTCACTCTCTGCATTATTTCCTTGAGAAAGGGTCTCCAGCCGCACCTGGCACTTACAGTGTCTCAGCTGGGCCATTGGTCAGCAAGCAAGCCTCAGGTATCATCTTGCAGCCTCCATGCTCTCCCTAGCACCAGGGATACAGACCTATGTGGCCTCGCTGGCTTTTAGTGAACGTGCTGAGGCTCAAGCCCGGGTCCTCATGCACTCTTAGCCACCAAGTCATCTCCTTAGCTTTTTAAACATCAATTCAGAACTCGGCTAGTTAATACCATTAGTAAGTACTAAACACACAGCAAGTCCTTGCTACTTCCTTCCGAACCAGAAGCTTGAATCTCTGAGTTTTATGTTGTATTGATTATTCTGGGCTTTTAAAGAGAAGACATTTTGACACCTGTATATGTTACATTGTTTGGACATGGACTGCTTCACATTGATTTAGACTTCCTTCTGAAATATGAAATTGTCCTTTGCTTAATACAACCAAAAGGAACACTGAAACTAGACCTAAGTGTCTGGGTTTGAGCATTGTGGCCATGATTTGTTTCAGGAAAAGGTAGAAAGCAAGGGTACGAGTCCAGGGGGAAAGGCTGGAGGGAACCAGGGCCAGGTTTCCAACAGTCCTTTTATTTATTTTTAACTTTTAAATTCTGTGTGCATGTGTGTGTGTGGTATATGTCTCTGTGTAGAGGTCAGAGCAGGGTATTAAATGTCTTCTATTGCTCTCTGACTTACTGCCTTGAGACAGGGTTCCTTACTGAGCTGAAAGCTGACTAGTTGAGCTGACATCGTTTGTGCACACAGATACAGTTCTAGAAAGGGTAGGTGCTCTTCTCAGTTGCATGTGTCCAGATGTCAGTAATGCCAGTCTTGCTGGCAGGCTTTCTGAGGGGAACTCAGGTCTTTTATGCTAATTTCTTTCTGCACAAGAACATCATAATGTTCTCATGGAAAATGCAGGAGTTAACAGAATCAAGTTGATTCTTGCTCTGGTTAACTTGACATGGTTTATCCACATGGATCGTAATATTCACTTGTGAAATTCAAAAGCACAGAAAGATGATTGACTGCACCTTCAGTATATGTGTTTTAGTTCATATAAACTCTTTGATAGGAAACATTTTACTTTCTGTTTTTTAAAACAGGGGAACATACCTGCGTTTGGGTAACCCAACTGTTTGGGGAGCAGTGGTCACCATTGTTTGTGGATTTAAGATTCATTGTACTTTCTCTGAGGAATAAATGTGAATGGAGCCCCATGGCTCTCTTAGGAGGCAGTGATGTTGGCACCCCGTGAGCCTGCTGCCTGTCAGCCACATTGCAATATGTTTTATTCTTCTTTTAGTATCACAGCTCATCCGGCTGTGTTGACAGAAGCAAAGAATTCTTTCAAAAGTAGCCAAAAGTAGAGCACATAGCAAAACTGCATGTGTAGAAGAACCATGACTTTTGGGGACACAGGACTCAGCCAGTCCTTTCAGAGTTACCGTCCAGTGCAGATGGTGCTCCACAACAGAGCAAACCATGGGAAGTGATCGCTGAGCCCAGGCGGCTTAGACGGCATGGGCTCTTCTTCTTCTTCTTTTTTTAAATAGCCCACGCGGGCGCATGAGTGTATGTGTGTGTGTGTGTGTGTGTGTGTACATGTACGTACGTGTACATGTGTGTACATGCACGCAGGTGCCCTCAGAGGCCAGAGGCTTTGGACACCTGGAACTGAAGTTTCACATGGTTGTGAGCCACCCAATGTGGGCGCTGGGAACTGAGTCCTTCACAAGAGCTGCACCAGCCCTTCACTACTGCTCCGTTTCTCCAGTCCCATCATTATTATTATTATTATTATTATTATTATTATTATTATTATTATTATTATTATTATCATTAATTTTCATGGGCTCTTTTTGAGCATAGACAATACACTCCTTTTTAGTTTGCTTGTTCACACTGCTGCATCTTTTCAGAAGTGAGTCTGACAGGCTGCATATTCCCGGGGCTTTCGCTTGTTTTTCAGAGTCTAGTGAACTTCCTCCTGGGTGACACTCTGTAGCTGTGTTTGAAACAGTCTCCGAGTCCTGCGGATGTGATTATTTGAATACTTTGTGAGAGCAGAATGTTACATCAGTGTGTTCCATATTTTATAAAGCTCCCCTTTTAAATGCAAGGCGCCCCACGTATCTCATCAGTTTAAGATTGTGTTTTGTCCATTGAGGCATCAGAGAGCTGAAGGCTATGCTGGTGTGAATTGGCACCTTCCTCATTGATTGTCCTGCTGACACACACGCACGCACACACACGCACGCGCACACACACACACACATGGACACGCTGCCTTGGGTGCTAGCAGGATGGAGCTATAGGAATCTATAAAAGGTGGCTTTTTTTTGTCATTGGTGGTGGTTTTGTTTGTTTATATTGCAGGACTTCGTGTCAAACAGCCCGGGTACCTGATCCTTAGTGTTCCTTTTCTAGATTTATAGTTAGTGTTCATCTGCTTTGCTTCTGCTCTTTGGGAGGCAGGAGAGGGAATCGCTCCACATGTGGGACCCTCACATATTTTTAATGGCATCTTTCAGCTGAGAGATTGTCTGGAGGCTGACTTGTGTCATCACCTGCCTGATAAGCACTTAGCCCCTACGTGGCGTCTACGTTGTTTTTTTTTATTAAATAACGAAGTACAGTTTATATATCTATTCTCCAAATTTGTCTTAAATAAAAGACAGTGCTAAGAAGCCTCCAGTACCCATCAGCATCCACTTTTCTTCCATTCACATGGAACTCACAAAGGCTCTGGTGGAAAGTAAGGGAAAGACACTGGTTGCTTAGGAGCTGGATAGCCCTGTGGGCGTCTGTTAGCAGGGCCACGGTCTCCCTTGATGATGAATGGACTTGGGAATAACTAAATGAAGACAAATGTTAGGAAATGCAGATGTTTACCGGGTACTCTTAACTGCTAGTGTCTTGACTTTGCCTTTCATCGTCAAAGTAGGAATGTGGTTTGAGAATTTTTTTTTCTGTATTCATTTTTGTATATTCTCTGATTTAATCTGAAACGTTTTCACCCTCATATTCAGCGAGTCTCTCCGTAAGCATTTAAAAAGTGCAATGCCCCATGTTTATGTCTTGTCCTCTCTTTCAGACTTACTGATGAGGCGCGAAGGCTCATTGCTGAGCTGGGTAGTACGTCCATCACCAGCCTTGGTTTTCGAGATAACTGGGTCTTCTGTGGTGGGAAGGGCATTAAGACCAAAAGCCCCTTTGAACAGGTTAGTGTCTGAGATGTTCATAACTAATGGGCAGGAGTAAACTAGTGAAATTTTCTCATATAATATTCTCACACCAGTTATTTGAAAATTAGATTAAGTGCCAGGCAGTAGTGGTACTCTCCTTTAATCCCAGCACTTGGGAGGCAGAGACAGGTGGACCTCTGAGTTAGAGGCCAGCTAAGGCTATGAAGAAAAACCTGGTCTCAACCTTTGCCACCCCCAAAAAAGAGGGGGAAAAAATTAGATAAGCTAATACCGAGTATCTCCAGATAGTTTTTACAAGTTCTTGGTAAATAATTAAAATAATGATGACATTAAAAACATTTTTTCAAAACTTAATTATTTCCCTCTTATACAACAATGCATTATCACTCTCAGTTACTATGGATTTCAGTTATACTTTGATGCTTGAATCAGCTAATTTTGCAAATATCTCAGAACTGAAATAGAATATAAACTTATTGACAAATAATCCTTTAAAAACATTTGTAGATTTTTCTTTACAAGCTTTTTGTTTTTTAAGGTTTGCCAGATAGCTCCCAGCCCACAAGGGTCACTCAGTGAATGTCTTGAGCTGTAGTTTATGTTACCTCACTGTTGACATGCGTTACCAAGATGAGAGCAAGTGGGTTATGTTACTGCAAGTTAGCAGACCACAAGCATTTGTTAAACTGTGTCCTGTCGTTGTGTTCCCTCAGCACATAAAGAACAATAAGGATACAAACAAGTACGAAGGATGGCCTGAAGTGGTTGAGATGGAAGGATGCATCCCCCAGAAGCAAGACTGAAGGGAGTGTGAAGAGGAGAGGAATGCACTTTGACCCTGAAGGAGAGCTGGGAAGCAGCCGCTCCGTGTACATATTTTAGTAGCATGCGGCCAGCCAGGGTGTGCATGAGCCAGATTGTCTCTGTCGATTCCAGGATTATTTATTGCTAACATAAATGGCTACCTTTGTAAATAGTCCTCATTTACTGAACAAATCGCTGAGCCATTTTTTAAGCACAGTCCCCTAAAAGTGCAATGTTTAGACTTGAGTGGCAATAATGTACTTTAATTCTAAAAGCGTATACAGTGGGTAACCAGGGAGGCTGTAAAGGCATTGATTTCTATTCTGGTTGCTGTGAAACTATCATGGAAAAACACATGGCTTTTAGGGAAGAAATTTTGTTCGTACATATGTCTCTGTATAAATACCTGGCATGTGATGACAGTATCCTTTAAATTAAAGAGATTTTTGGCTAGTTGTATGTGTAATGTCATCTTACAGTCTGACTTCCGGTGTACTTCTTTTCATAGTCTTTATTTTTCCTTCCAAGGAAACCAAGAAATAAAATATTTCACATGAAAATTTTCATCAGATTTGTGAAAAGCACAACAGTTTTTTTAATACATTGAAAATTTAATGTAGGTGTCATTTGGGGTTCATCTTCTAGAGTTTGTGTTAGTGTGAATTCTATGATTTTGTATAAGCTATTTAGAGTAACCCTAGAGGGTGGGAGAGGACCGGAGAACCAGGTCAAGTCCCTTCCTCAGCTTCATCAGGTCATCCAAGACAGCTGGGCTAGCGCAGTTTGGGTGATGCAGACATTGGTCTGCTTTGCTCCCTTCATTGATCACGTGGTCTTAGAAGAGGAATTCTTTGTTATCATAGCTTTGATTTGTAAACCAAGAAATTCTGTTGTTTACTTCCAACTTCATAATAACAACCATTGGCTGCAATTTTGTAGCAGAATATTTGAAAAGTCCTAATTACTTTATTAGGGCACTAAATGCCTATCATATGCGACGTATATGGAATAGCTTAAAATGCATCATCACCAAAAGTAGTTCTCATGCTGCCTGTCATGGGATGAGGCAACACTTCAAATTGGAACCTAAAATGTAGATGGTTCGTATAAAAATCAAAAAGCAGTATTTGCTATTTCGTTAAAAGCTGGAAGCAGTTCAGATACTTCTTGAATATTACTGACCTTGTGATACCGTTTCTTCCCACAAACTGAATGTAGTAGTTCATAAGGGGACACATCTTCTGTGTTCAGACAAGTTTTGTACACTTTTAAGAGTTCTGGTGCTTCTATATCCATATCCATATAACTCATATCCAGCATATTTGTCTTGACATGTAAAATATTTCCCTTGATTTTGTAAGTCGTTTTACACTTTCAGGGGATTGAAAAATAAATGTTGCATTTTTTTTTTTAAATAATGTAAGTACTCTTGGTTTCACATTGTAAATTTGTGTGTGTGTATGTGTATGTGTGTGTATTTGACAAAGTACATACTATACCTGCAAAACATCACATGAGTGTCTTTTTGACAAATGGGTTTTTGTTTTGTACTTCCTAATGTAAAAATTAAGTCTCTGCCATCAAACACAGTAATACTCGGGATATATTTGAACATGTATAGAATTGAGTTGCTTGATAACAGGCTATCCCTTTGAATTCTGAGGACTGCAGAGATTTATTTTACAGTTGTGTAAAGTGTGAGGAGGGGTGAGATTGGCTATGTAACTGCCGCGGTGCAGTCATTTTTGTCTGGATCCTGTCTGTCTGGGTTGCGCCAGCTTAACTCTGGAAGCAATAATCAACTGTTTTACTTTCACATCAGCCTTAGAAGTGAAATGATGCTCATTTAATGTTGAGAATTTTGTTTATTAAAATCAAAGCTCTAACACTGCCGTGTAGTAGTTGAAGTGATGTGCGAGGGTCGGCTGCGGATGCAGTTCCAATTATCATCACAGATGCTTCCCTAGCGGAGGTGGGTGTGGGAGGTGGGTATGGGAGGAGGGTGTCGGAGGAGGGTGTTTGAAAAAGGAAGGAGGAACGAAGTGGATGGATATTGGGAAAATAAGAAAAATAAAGAAAATGCTTATATTAATTTTAATTTGGTTAAAGTTAAATTCATCATTTTCTTTTTGCTATATTTGTTTTTAAATCAATCAGCCAATATTTTGCAATTTTTATGATTTAGCTTGTGTTTTATACTTCAAAGGTCTACACAAATTATAGTGTGACCTCAAAATGGTGCATTGTTCATTCTGTTCTGTCAACTTTCTCGTAATCCTCTTTAAATGAAAAAGAAAAGAGACATGCACTGTGTTCAGTGAGCAAAGCAGTTTAAATGGAAGGACATCTGACATCTTTTCAAGTCAGTATGAAAGAGGGGAAATGCTTGTTTACCCAATCTGCACTCAACCAATTACTTTCACCTCTTCAAATGCATATGGTGTGGAACTGTAGAAGCCAGGAATGGATTTTACCTTTTCTAAAGCATTTCTAAGGGTTCTTTTCTTGTTCTTCCCAGGATGGCTTTTCTACCACAAACTTGGTTTTGATTGTCACATGCCAAATGATCAGTCAATCCCCACCTCTCAAATCCCTTCTTTCTCCTCTTATTATTCCTTCTTGAAACTCTTGGAACCCACCTGTCAAAGCAAGAGTATGAGGGGAGGAAAAGCAGTCAGACTTAAGAGAGTTGCAGTTATTTGTTGCCAGGTAGTATAATGGAGCATCAAAGGACAGGAATGAAGCTGGGGGAGGGCCCCTGGGGAGTCTTAAGTCCTCCTCCAGTCCAGAAGGTACACGAGAGAGCACTGTAGGGAGGAAGCCCTTCTGTGGTGGTCAGGGGGAAAAAGGATAGGTCCGCCCTGTGGTTAGGTAACGCCCGTGTTTCTGTTGCATTTGTCCCATAAGCAAGTGATTAGCATGAGGAGAGTTGCCAGCCCATTGAGTTGACAGGTGCTACTTGTTGCTAGTACTAGACTCACTGTCCTGCTCTGCATCAGTCTGGCAGCATGGATGCACTGACGTGGAGAGAACTTAGAGCTGTATTAGTAAAGATGTTCCAGTATTGATGCAAGCGCCTAACATTTCATAGAATTATTTTCTATTTGCTTGATAACCAGAGAGAAGAGAGCCTTTAAGCCTTAAAAGGGGAAATTCTGGAAGAAGAGATGGTATGGTGTATTGCTTAACACTACAGATGTGCCTGAGTGTACCCTGTGTGTCCACTGGTCATGATGTGAACATTATCAATTTCCTGTAAAACATAGTACTAGAGTGTTTATGGTGCCAGCCAAATGACAAAATACTCATTAAATCCAGTTACTGTTATTAGCCATGCCTCTTGTAGATGTTTAGATGCAGAAGTTACCAAGTGTACATGGGAAGCTTACCAGTTCTACTAAGCCAGAAAGGAACCAGTCAGTGATGGGACAGTGATTTCATTAATGGATGACATGCAGCTACACTTCAGGCCTTCCTTGATCTCCCAAGGCTCCGACTGACTTTCACATTCTATCTCATTCATTACTCAGAACACCAAAGGCCCTGTCACATGTAAAATCCAAGATTTAATTTCTTACCAGGTGGTGTTTCAAATCTGATTTTAAAAAGGGCTCTGCTTACCAGGCTAGCTATGGATGAAAGTGTGAGGAACCTTGTAGGGAACACAGACCTTGGTCCCTACTCCTAACAACTGGCTGTAGGGCAGCAGGAGAGCATCAGGGATAGATAGGAGATAAAGGGGCTCAGTTGCAGTCTCACTAGCATTTCCCTCTTGCTCAAAAGGGCCTATGAAGAAGGTTCTTGCCATCAGGATGGTCTAGGCAAAGGAGGATTCTTAAGTGGGGATTTTGATACTTATTATTGCTATTGTTTGCTTTGGGGGATTTCCAAGTGCATTTTCCACAATGTGTGAACTACCATTCAAATGTGCTTTACCTTGGCTGGGAGACTGGTACCACTGGATACAGCTTAATATGAACAAATTCAACCTAGGGATGAGGAAATCTCTGCCAAGTCCTGCCTTTCTTCATCAGCTGTAGCTCAGCAATGAAATATGATGGATGGCCCATTGTATGCCTACTACTAAACAGAAATGTTGTCTTCTGTAAAGACATCCCTGCAAGCAGAGAAGGGTGAATACTCACTCCTGGGACTTAGGTTTTAACTAAGAGTCCAATGTGAATCTCAGTGTCTTATCTTAAAACTCAAAGTCAAGTTTTGCATTTTGATTTGTTTATGTATGATGACATTAACATGGAAATCTGAATAATTTTCAAGTTCAGCTCCAACACTACTGTGCTTAGGTTTAGTTGTGTTTATTGGGGTCCTGATTTGAGACCTGCATCCTTTGACAAGAACAGAAATGAACAGCAAGAATGTCTTGAGAGTTCAGTTCTGAGCATGGGAGTTCAGTTCTGAGCATGGGAAAGATTTATGTTGGACACTGTCATCTGGATATGTTCAGTTCATGGCCAAGCCAGTAGTCAGTAGTGCTGGTGAATTGGGAAGCCCAAATCTACAGTGTAGGAGGTTCAGTTGGCGAGTTTCCTTAGCTGTGAGGAATAGGATCTAGGTCCCTGCTCTAGAGAATGTGCTCTGCCCCCAATGGTTTTCTGCTCTTCAGCAGGTAGAAGATGTGAGATACCAGATAAGTGAATAAAATTGGAAAGTCTTGGTCAATATGAGTGGTCAATTATGTATTTTGCAAATACTGTCAAAATTCTATTATTATGGAAGTATTCTGGAGTAGGTTCCCTATGGTTCTAAATCCCAGGGCATGTTGGATATGGGACACAGTGGCAGGTATTGTGGCAACTAGAATTTTGAGGTTTCTATATTAAGTCAATGAAATTTAAAGTAGTATCTTGAGAAATAATAGATTGGTTATTTGAAGAGAGAAAACATTTCTCAGTTGGCAGAAGGAAGAATTTCTCAAAATAATGAGGTTTGTTTTGTGAAATCGTCCTATAACTCATTAAATAGAAGGCATGTCAGAGACTATGTATCCATCCCATTGACTTCAGTTTTCCCATTTTGCAGTCTTAGAGTATGCTATTTTTTGCCCAAAGAGCTTGAGTGGAGCAGATATTAGTTTTCTGGAGAGCTTAAGATGTGGGAATGTAGTGCATAGGACTGGCAAAGAGTGGAGATTATGTACTGAGAAAAAGGAGATCATTGATTTAATTTGTGTGTTCCTCTGCTTACCTTAGAGTTTAAGTTGTATTAAGCTATCCAGTAAAATACGGTGATGGCCTTCGCTCATCAGAGAGACTCAACAGGGACACAGGTTTACCTTTTCTTATCATAGCTACCCAGAACTAGGCAGATATACCTATAAAGGTATAGAGTATGACTACAGCTGTCAGGCTGTTACTGATGTTTCTCAGCAGCTGTGGAGGTCAGTCACCCCTGGTGCTAGGCCAGCCATCTAACGGAGAATAGACTGTCTATCCCACGACATTTTGCTTCCAATTCCTACAAATCACATGCTTCCACTTACGGTGCTCATTCAAAAGACACATACAAACATTTGTTTGTGTCGACTTGATTCATATTTACTGCTGTGCTCTCTTATAATCACTCAGAGGGCTACTTTCTCTAGCCTTTCTTTTCAAAGCTTTAACCTGGTGCAAATCCGCTTCTGGTAGTTTTACTTTGTCTGTGAAGATAAACCATTACAAACGACAAACGTTACCCATTTTCTAAAAAGAATGCCTTGTGAAGCAGTTGGCTCTAACCACATCAGCAAGGGTGTATTTATTTTATGCTGACTTAAATTGCTTTGTTATTTCCTCAAGTCATTTCTTCTTGGAAGATTGATAGCTTCTTGGGTATTCCAACTGTTAGTGCTGTTGGGATCTAAAATAGAGGCTAGCTTCAGTCACCTTGAACTCCTTAACCAAGTTTATATAACCAAACTATGAAGAAACAGCTGCAATTTGACTCTATTTACAGAGCCCTCAAAGTCTTGACATGATGTAAACCTAGTCCACTGATGGTTTGGATGCCGGGAGATGTACAGTAACACCGTGGCTGTGGATGGCACAGATGCCACTGGTCCATCCTGTGTGAGCATGGTTGGCTGCTTGACGGGCAGTTATGCTTACCTCCCTCATCTGCGAAATGGAGCCACAGTAATGGTGCCTAATTTATGGAATTGTGAAGAATGTGTGTGTGTGTGTGTGTGTGTGTGTGTGTGTGTGTGTGTGTGTGTATTCACCCACACGCACATATAAATACATGAATGAATGAAATTTATACATGTATACATATATATGTATGTATATGAATGATATTAATTTTGGCCCATGCCAGTACTACAGCAAATGCTATCAATGTGTTTACTAAACTTATATTTCGTTCAAAGGAAATGAATCTCTCCCATCTTTCTCTGGTACCCCCTATATCCCCTTTCATGCTTTGACAGAGCCCTGCTCTTTAGCCAAGACATGTGATACTTTCAGCACAGTAAAACTGAAATTAAAACAAGAAGCAATACAACTTCATTTTCCTTAAAAAGGCTTGTCTTGGGGATTATTTGTGGTACTTGGAGAAAGAATTTGAACTTTTCTTTCATCAGATTAGCTTAGCAGATCATAGCGCTCCGAGTTAAGGAACTAATTAATTAGTGGCTTGTTTTCCAGTCTTTGAGCACTTATGGGAGGTGATACAAAAACTAGCAACCCACAAAGAGTTGGCCCTTGTGCTTCTATGCCTCTCATTTAGTAAATAATAATTTTGTTGACTCTTAAGGGTCACAGTTGAATGTTCAGTACTGATCTTAACAGTAGAACTAACTGTTCATGTCAGTACTAGCAATATGTCAGGAAAAGTGTGTTTCCAAAATATGTACTGTGAGTATCACATGGTTCTAAAGCTGCAAAGACA